TCCACCAGGGCCGGACGGGTGCCGAGCGGAGAGGGCCGGGGCCTGCTCTGTGGCTCAGCCTGCGCTGTCTCGACCCACAGGGCTGGCGTGGGACTGACCGGCTCCAGCCAGACCATGTTCTATGCGGAGGTGACAGACGCCCAGAGGGGTGGCCCGGGCGGGGGCCTGGCCGAGGAGGGCGAGCTCATTGAGGTCGTGCACCTGCCCCTGGGGGGCGCCCAGGCCTTCTCGGACAACCCGGACGTCCCCAAGACCCTGGGCGTCATCTTTGGGATCTCCTGGTTCCTCCATTGTGTGGGCCCCGGCCTGGGTCTCCAGTGACCCTCGAGGGGGTCTGGAGCCAGGCCGGTCCTGGCCCCCACCCTGCAGCCCAATAAAGGCTCCTGTGGCTCCAGCTGTGTCCACTGGCTCCGAGCTGTGACCGGGGGAGGCCCGGAGACGGGGGGCTCTCCAGAGGGCCCTCAACTCCACAGCAGAAGCCTGGGCTGTGGCTATGCCGAAGGGCAGGCCAGGCCGGGGCAGAGGGTGGGGGGGGGGCGGGTACACACTCAGGGAGGGCAGCTCAGTGGGCCTGGGGATGGGCCCCCTGGGCACCAGGCCACGGAGTGAGCTGGGGCCTCCGGGGTGGTGGCTGAGCCGGCCTCAGGAGGGGGGCAGAACTGTGGGTTGTGCATTCCAGGGGGCACACACTCCCTGTTCCTGGAGAAGCGAGGTCCCCCGCCCCGAGGCCTGGGCTGGCACCCCCAGAGCCCGTGTCCCCTGGGCCACAGGAGTGTGGCGCTATCTCCCTCCTCCTGCAGCCTGTGTGTGTGGCCTCGAGTGCTGGGGGCCACAGGTGGGCTCGCTGCCCACTTCGCCTGCACCAGGAGCCCGCTGTGGGGGGTGTGCTGGTCACCATGGTCACAGGCATCAGCCGGGAGTGGGGCCCCACCTGAGGGTGGTGACCTGGTCTGGCCCTTCCCCAGAGCCCCCACACCCTCTGGTCAGCCCCTGGGGTGTTGCCCTGGGGACAGGTCGGGACAGCCAGGGTCATGAACCTCTGACCTGGGAAAGGAAAGGAATCCAGGGGTGCTGTCCTCACAGGAGGGCGGGTCTGGGGACCGGAGTGGCCAGGAGCGTTGCCATGGGCCCCAGTGTTCCCGGGCTGGGCCCTGGGCTGTGGCTGGATGGTGTCGGGGCGGGACATGCTGCCTCGGGCTCCTGCTGGGCCCACCTGCCCTTGTGTGCTCGCCCTGCCCCTCCCCACGCCGACCCCAGGCAGACGGTGTGGGGGTGTGTATAGCAGAGCCTAGCAGAGCAGCACAGCTCAGGCCTGGCATTGGAGGCCCAATCGGCCCACCCCAGCAGCACACCTGTATGCAAATGCCGGCTATGACCCAGGTGGGGCCTCCTGGGAGCCCAGCCAGGTGAGTGCCAAGCTGCTAGGGAGGGGCCGGAGGGTGTGTGGTGTGTCCAAGGGGCCAGCAGGGCTGGGCAACTGTGGGGTCCAGGGTGCTGCAGCTCCATTCTGTCCAGAGGAGACCCCAGTGGGCTGCCCCGGGCCTCGCTCATCTAGGAACTGTCCCGGGGCAGGAGCTGTGCCCAGGGGTGCCCCGCCCGCCTGCCTCCCGCACCGCCTGCCTGATGCCCACCCGACTGCTCATGGCTCTGGGCCGCCTGCCGCACTGTCTGGGAGGGGCGTCCGGCAGGGCCTGGGCTCTCAGGGCCCTGGGCATGTGCTGAGCCCCCGACTGCAGGGTGGGGTAGAGGGCAGGGTCCCTGGACTGGAGTGCAGCCCCGCCCCTCACTGCAGCCTGGGGCCGGTCAGCCGGCACGCCACGGAGCCTAATGGAACTGGCATCGATTTCCCGGCACTGGGTGGGGGGGGCTGTAACCGGAAACCCCCCTCCCTGGCGCTATATTTAGCACCGCACAGCGGGCGGAAGCACAGCTCACTCCTGAGCGCAGCAGGCTCTGTCCAAATCCTGGGCAGTCCGCACCCCGGCCGGGCCGGAAGCCCCCTGGCCAGGCTGAGTGGCCCCCAGACTACCCGTGCCGTGTCCAGCACAAGCGGAGCACTTGCCAGGGCACACCCGGGAGAACCCCTGGGGCTGGAGCTCAGAGCGGGAGCCCCTGGCTAGGGGGCCGGTGGAACTGGGATCTGAGAGGTCCTGTGGCTCAGTGGACCCCAGGACAATCACGGGGGCCTTCCTGGAAGAGGCAGGGCAGCCTGGCCCAGCAGGGGTGGAGCCAGGCGCCCAACCACCCCTGGATTTGCAGCCCTCTGGCCCAAGGCTGCAGCAATCCCTGCAGGGACCCCTCAGAGGGAGGGTTCCTGTCTCCTAGCAACCGCCAGTGGGGGGGGGGCGTGTCCCCTTGCCCCCGGGAGAGGCCACCTTCCCTGACTTGAACCTCTTGGGCACCATTAGGTCTGGGCCGTGGCTCCTAGGAGGCAGGAAGGGCTTCTGGGCCCACAGGAAGGCACCCAGGGCAGGGAGGCAGGCGTCCAGGGTCTGCCGTCCCCGGTATGGCTTGAAGTTCCCCAGCTGCCCTGGCCACAGGGACCTCGGTCCGGCTCCCAAAGGGTGTGGAGGGAGGCCCTGGGCCAGGCCACTGTCTCCGTCGCTTTGCAGGGCGGGCAGGGGCTCCTGGACCCCGAGGGAGGCTGTGTCTCCTGACGGGTGGAGCTTGGATCCTGGGATGCAGGGTGCGGTCACCCCTGGTGCCTCCGGCTGAGAAAGAGCCTCAGCTGAGACAGCAGCTTCCAGTTTTTTAAAAGAATATATTTTTACTGATTTCAGAGAGGAAAGGAGAGAGAGAGCGCAATGATGAGAGAGAATCACTGATCAGCTGCCTCCTGCAAGCCCCACATCGGGGATGGAGCCCGCAACCCGGGCCTGTGCCCTGACCGGGAATTGAATTGTGACCTCCTGGGTCACAGGTCAGTGCTCAACCACTGAGCCATGCTGGCCGGGCTTTAAAAGAAATTTTTTTCTTTTTTTTTTTCTTTAGAGACAGGAGCTTCTGGATGGGGGTGCAGCCAAGGCCGCCTTCCCGCCCCCAGCTGGCCTGAGCAGCCCCAGGTGTGTGAGGGAGGCGCACGCTGGAATTCCCCGGCCCTCAGTCCCGCCAGCTCCAGGCCCCGCCCGGCCACTGGCCACCTTCCCCTCTCACTTGCCCTGTGACAGTGGCCACCTATGGCCTCACCCCTGCCACCCCTCCCCCGCAGCCAGGGATCCTTGTGAAAATGTAAGTCACAACGTGGAGCCCAACCCAGCCCGGCTGCTTTCTGTGACTTCCCGTTGGTCTTAGCAGGAAGACCGTAGTCCGGGAGGCCCAGCTCGCCTGGCGCCCACCCCCTCCCCAGCCTCCCCTACGCCGCTCACCCCTCTGCCTCGGCCATTGTCTCTCACAGGCCCTCACGGGGGCCAGGCTCCCTTGGCCCCAGGGCCATTGCACGGACCATCCCAGCTGCTCACCTGGCTGACCCCCTGTCGTCTTGGGCTCCTCCCTGGGTTGCCCGCCTTAAGTCTACCCCTGCCCGGAGACCCTGAGGGTGGGCAGGCACTGTCTGCCTTGCTCAGTGCTTGACAGTGCGGGCAGGGGTGCCCAGGGCGTCGGTGGGTAGCGGGCAGTGGGCATGAGCAGGGATGGCGCCTCGGACCCCTGGAACTGGGGGCTCCTCTCCCCCCCAGGCCAGAGCAGAGTCGGACCTCCACAGGGAACCCCCACCCCTGAACACCGCGCGGAGGCTCTTACGAGGAGGGGTCTTTGTGTGTGGAGGTGCCTGGCTTGTGTCCTGCCCCCTTCCAGCCGACAGAGGGGCTCAGGTTAGGGATGGCCACGTGCAATGAGCAGAGCCAGGCCCATCCCTTCTGGGCCCCCAGCTGCACCTGAGGCCTGGGTTCTGGACAGGGCTGCTCAATGGGCAGCGAGACGGGTGAGGACAGCATTCATCCCCCGAGGCACTGGGCCATTGGGCTAGTGCCTGTCCCCTGAGTTCCTCCTGCCAGCCCGGCCCTGAACCAGTTCCTGCAGAGCCCTCTTCCTCCAGGGCCTTCCAGGCCCCTCACTGCGCCAATGACTAGCTCCAGGAGCGGCCGCACTCCCGGCACCCAGCCCGGGGCCGGGGCAGATTTGCTGGAGGGTCCGTTACTGTGGGAGTGGGGCCGGAAGACCCCTGTGGAACATGTCGTGACCCCCGGCAGCCGGGGCGATCGCCAGTCCTGGGGGGCCCTGCTGGGTGGAGGGGAGGCGATGCCTGGAGACCAGGAGCTCTTGGTGATGGCTCCCTGGAGGTGTGGCAGCAGGTGGGGCGAGGGCTGGCGACCGGGACGGCGGGAGGAGCCTCTCAGGGGGCCCCTCGCCTGGTCCAAGCTCGGCCCGGCCCTCCTCGAATGTGGGAGACCAGGACTTGGTGATGGCTCCCTGGAGGTGTGGCAGCAGGTGGGGCGAGGGCTGGCGACCGGGACGGCGGGAGGAGCCTCTCAGGGGGGGGCTCGCCTGGTCCAAGCTCGGCCCGGCCCTCCTCGAATGTG